CTGCATCCGTGGCTGTCCTGTGTGGGCCCTGCATCAGCGCAGGTGTTTCCTGACAGCCGCCCCCGATGCCAGCAGCAAGGGAAGGGAGAGCAGATAAGGAGGCTCTTGCACACCCCAGCTTCAGACATAGCTCCCCCGAGCCCCTGCGCCCTCGAGCACCGTTCCTGAGAAGGCACCACACACATCATCCATCACCAACACGACCCCGCTTTCCCGAACACCATGAATGGCGGTAGCCACTGTCACCATGACAGGTCATCGTCTGGGGGATGTGCAGCAAAGCCACATGCTCCTCACAATACCATGAGGGTCCTTAGCCTCATTATTCAGGGGAGAGACACACTTGACCCCTGTGGTCCCGCAGGGTCACGGCCATCACCTCAAGATGCTTCTGGCTCCGGTCCTGGGCTTGTGACCGATCCAAATGCAGAGCCAAGGCGAGACAAAGAGCCCAGGCACTCAGCTTCCTCACGGGGACGCGCTTGAGAGCCGCAGAAGGTGGGGGAAGGCTGATGTGCCCGAGCTACCCTACCGTTCGCGCCCTCCAACGCCTCTGTAATAATCTCCATTATTTTTCTAAAGAGAAACCAACCCTCCTGCCGATCCTCACCCACAGCGCTTTTCATGGTTCTGACTTTTTTCTGGCTGATGATGAATTCGACCAACACACAGGAGGGTTCGAAACACAGGGGGCTTGTGGTGAACAATTTAATCAGCCTTAGATTCAAATTATCTCTCATGTCCACAGGCTTTGTAAGATGCTCTCCCTGGGATCTGAGGGGCTTGCTGCCTCCTCCCTCCTTCCCTGTCCTTCGGGCAAGCCAAGGCCACCCTCTCCCTAGCTCTGCGGGAAGAGAAGACTGTGCCCATGGTGGGCCCTTGACCACACCTGGGGCATCCAGTTCTAACAGTTATCTTTCCAAAGTTCTCGGGGACATGCCGGAAGTTTCTGTTGCATTCACTTCTCCCCGTGCAACTGATGGGGCTCTTTCTGCAGAAAGTTATTTCAACGGGAATGTCTGTGGCCCCTTCGAGTGGCATTTCCTTACCAAGAACATCCTTTCCCTTTGGAGCCGGTGTGCTAGGGACGAGTGGCGGTGAGATTTGCTGCCAGACGTCAGGTCCCTCGTCCGGGCAAGTGTCTCAGCCCGGGGACCCTGGTTTCCTTGGGGCGGAGGGGTCGGCCACCAAAACAAAGGAACAATCAGAAGTGGGCCAAGAATGAGCAGTGGTGATGAAAAAGGGAGCCAGGCTTATGATTAATCCATTCCATGTGCTGCGAGCCAAAACACGATCCAATGAAGCCAATAAAGGTAATGCCCACCTCACAGGATTATTCGGTGGCTCAGTGCCCTCCAGGCGTCATAACAGCAGGTGCCGGCAGGCTGGGCTCCCGGGGGGCTCCTTCAGGTTGCTGGTGGTGTCCAGCTCCTGGCAACAGTGGGTCGGAGATCTTCATTTCCTTGCTGACCATCAGCTGAGAGCCTCCCTCTGCTCCCAGAGGCCGCACAGCCTTCTCTCCCACACGACCTCTCCATCTCCAAAGCAGCACTGACTGTCCGACATGTTCTCACGCTTTGAAGTTCTCTGAGGTCGCCCGCTGGAGGAACCTCTCCACCCACCAAGGTCAAGCCTACTGGATAATCTCTGTGAAGGCCACTGGCTTGGGCTTTTTGTTACACCTGCAAAGTGCCTTCAGAGCAGCATTGGGGCTTGTGTTGGACTGGACGGGTATCTTGGGGCCCATCTTCAGACTTGTGTCTACCACACTTATTATGCCTTTTTCTTTTTAGAGAGGGAGAGGGAGAGAGAAAGTAGGGGAAGGGCAAAGGGAGAGAAAGAATCCTAGCAGACTCCACGCTCAGTGAGGAGCCCGATGTAGGGCTCGATCCCACAACCCTGAGATCATGACCTGAGCTGAAATCAAGAGTCGGACATTTAACCGACTGAGCCACCCAGGCATCCCTTGCATTTTTTTAATTGGCTTATTTCGAGTTGGATTAAAGGAGGAAAATTCCTGTCCGTGCTGAGGGACCATAATAATAATAATGCAGTTTCTGGCAGCGGCCAACACTCTGGGTAGACGGAGGCAGCCTCTGGCTTCGCCTCTGAACGTCACGTGGAAGTTGAGATTAGTTGAGAAAAATATGCAAAACCTCTGCCCTCTTCTGCCTTCGTGACCTTGAACAAGCCCCCTAACCTGGCTGGGCTCTGTCCCTTCATCACCATATTGTGAGCTGATCCAAAAGGACATCTGCCCAGAGCCTAGCACCCACCAGCACTTGGCTGTTATAAGGATCACACCCATGGTCCACACACTGTTGAGCCATCTGCACAACCTTCACCTGAGGACACCTTCTTAAACGTCACCCCCTCCTTCTTGGGGGCACCATGCGCTGTTGAGCTTGCTTTTCCCGCATCCCTGCCCCCGGGCCACCCACGCCCTTTGCTAAAAGTGTGTTCTGTGGGCTGATCCAGGAGTCTTCCCATACAAGCAGCTTCCTCTCCATGTGGAGAGGACTTGCACTGAGTGGATGAAGATCTCAGGGAACTTACTACCTGAGCAGGCTCCCAAGAGCAGTGGCAAAATGACACCTTGGTATGTGACGCCCCAGCTCCCTTTTGAAGCAGTTCCCAATGTGGCCACAAGGTGGCAGCACAGGCAGATCCCTGTTCAGGGAGATTGCAAGGGGTAGGGCACAGATCCAGGGTATGGCTTCCTGGCAAGCCTGGACCAACTGGTAGTTCAGTGTCCCCAGCGTGGCATCGCATTGTGACAACCCGTGCTTGTCTCCGTCTCGGGACCCAGTGGCTATAGCTCTGTGTTGATTGTCCTCATGCTGCACTGTAAGTTATTTGGGATGCCCATCTGATTCCCTCTGAGCCCAAAGAAGTTAGGAAATGAGTATTTTTTAAACTTCACAATAAATATGATCCCAGTTTTTGGGCTCCTGGGTGGCTCAGTCGGTTAAGCGTCTCCCTCTGGCTCAGGTCATGATACCAGGGTACTGGGATTCAGTCCCGCATCGCATCGGGCTCCCTGCTCAGCGTAGAGCCTGCTTCTCCCTCTCTGCCACTTCCCCTGCTTGTGTGCTCTCTTTTATTTGCAGAAAATTATTTCAACAGGAACGTCTGTGGCCCCTTCTGGTGGCATTCTCTTACCAAGAACATCCTTCCCACTCGGAGCCAGTGTGCTAGGGATGAGTGGCGGTGAGATTTGCTGCCAGACGTCAGGTCCCTCGTCCGGGCAAGTCTCTCAGCCCGGGAAGCCTAGTTTCCTCTGGGCAGAGGAAATAAAATGAAATAAAAATAAAAAAAACTAAAAATCTTTAAAAAAATATGATCCCAGTTTTACAGGTGAGCAGATCAAGGATTGTGGCTTGCCCGATGTCACAGCCAGTGAGAAACATGACATTATCATGTTATATTTCATTACAGGAAATTTCAAATATACAAAAGAGGAGTTATAACTCGGATGGTATTCACCATCCAGCCTCAACCATTATCAACATTTTGCCCCTGAGTTTCTCCTATCTTCATTTTTTTTACATGAGTATTTATAAAGCAAATTCCAAACACTGTGGCAATAGAGCGTAAACACTTCCGTTTTCACCGCTAAACAATCAGGGCATTTTGACCTAACCACCAGGCCATATTCTCTCCCTAACAAGTGTCAATAAACCTTAATAATACTGTTTATATGCAAATTTCCCCTCACCGTGTCCAGTTGGGTTTGTCCTATCATGATCCAAATAAGGTCCACACATCCATTTAATTATGTCTTTTAAGCTTTAATTGCCAAACAGTCCTACTTCCTTTCTTTTCCTCCAGCCCCTCAATTAATTAATAAACTGGGTCATTTTTCCACAGAACAGTCCACATTCTGGATTTGGCCGTTTGCCTCCCCCGGCAGGTGTCACAAGACTCTGGCACAGTGTAGATGTTCGTTCAACATTATCAACACTTTTAATGCGCGCAAATAGAGGCCTGGTCCTCACAAATGTGACCTGCAGGCAGCCCTCCACCCTGGGGGAGACCACGGGCTCCAGCTCTGCATCCTGGGTGGTGAGGGGAGACCACGGGCTCCAGCCTTCCGTCTTGGCGGACGGGACTGCGGGCCAGGAGCGCCGGAGAGGAGCTGGCCCCTCGCTGGAGGGACAGCAGCCAGGGGCGTTAAGAAAAGTGCCACCGCCCCTCCCAGCACCTCGGTTTCAGGGCAAGCGATCGAGTAGCAAGGCCCTTGCCAGATTAACGAAAACGTTTGAATGTATGAGCTTTAGTGTGTCCCCAAAGCATTCCTAGGTGCTGTTCTCATCGTCACGATTTATGTTTTATTCTGAGAAGTGAGGCTGAGAGCACAGTGCGGAGACAACCAGCGTCCGCCCGTCTCTCCATCCATCCTCCAGCGTCCACGCGGGCACATTTGCCCCCTGGGTTCCGCCACCCGCTCTAACAGGGCTCCCGGACGGCGCCGGAGTCCCCCTCCGTCCCCACCGCGGACCCGGCCCCTCAAACGGCGTCTGACAGCGTCCGGCGTCCAGGGAGCCCGCCCCGCCGCAGACGGCACGCCCGCCGCCCCGAAACCGCTCCCAGAGCGAAGCGCGGCCGAAGCGCCGAAGGGTCGGTCGGACGCGAGTCTCGCGGGCCGAGCGCCTCACTTCCGGTGACCCCGCCCCCCCACGCTTCTTCCCCATTGGTTCTGCCCTGGACCGCGCCCCGCCCGCGAGCGTCTCCCCCCACGGTTCCCTTCCCCTTTCACCTCCTCACCTTCGGAGGCTCCGGAAGCCTCCGACCCCGCCCACCAGGAGGGGAAGCGCGGAGGTGGGTGGCGAGAGAGTGCTCTGAAGCGGCCCACAATTATTGGTTACTAATGTCTGTCCATCAGAGGAGAAGCGGTTACGGACTGGCTGAAAGGAAGTGGTTGGGCGGGGAAGGAAGCACAGAGTCTGCGCGAGTGGCCACGCCCCCAAGGGGCGGGCCAGCGACCTCCGCGCATGCCCGGTGCGTGCGCAGTGCCGGCGGGGGTGGCGACAGTCATGGCGGCTCGGTGCGTGAGGCTGGCGCGGCACAGCCTCCCAGCTTTGGCGCTGTCTCTCAGGTAAGGGGCGCCCGGCTGCCCGTGGCTGAAGAAGGACGCTATCCTCAGTGCGGCTCCTACTCTGGCCAAGGCCGTGCCGGGAGCCCTGCGCGGCTCCTGCCTGGGAGACGGGCGTCGTGGGTTCCGCGGTTCGCCGACGCGGCGCGCGGACCTCCCGCCCGGGGCCTGCCCCTCGGCCGGGCCTGACCGGCCCCACGCGCGCTCGCGCCCGGGATCCGGCGGCCCGCCCAAGGCCAGGTCGCGCGCGGTAGCAGGCGCGCGTGCCCGGACAGCGCCAGGCCGGGTCCGCGGGGGCGCTCGGGCTCGTTCACCTCGGCCCCGGTTCCTTCCGGGGTCCCAGGTGAGAAGCGCGGCGGAGCCCATTCCGCCGTGGAGTGAGGAATTTAGGGAGACCAGTGCAGTGCGTCCACGGGGAGGCTCGCAAGAGTCGGGGCCCTCCCCGTTTGTTCTTGTTAACCTGCGGCCTCTGCTGTTTCAGAGTCCTAGCTCGTAGAGTAGTTTTGCAAGTCTTTAGCATCTCCTTTGTTGGAGGAACGGCTCAGAACCCAGGTGCTTACTGGAGGAGCTGCTCTGGGCCGAACAGTGGGTAGGAGCTGGGCGGAGCCAGAGCTGGACTTCTCCTTGGAGGAGCTTGCTCACGTGGACCGGGAGACCCGGCTGGCGGGGCGAGGATTACCTACAGTGGGAGGGGATTACGGTGTGATTGCTAGCCTCGTAAATTATATAAAACAAAATATGGAAACAAAGAGCAGTGGCCACCCGGATTCCCTGAGGGAAAAGGCTTCTTTTTTTGCTCAGGTAATTTGTGGTTTTGTATCTGAATTGCCAGGAAAGCGATCACCAGGGTAGCATTAATTTCTGTCCTTGAGAACTAGTTGATTGTGGAAAGAGGCTCAAATGGGGGAGTCATAACTCTAAGAGTAGCTAAGCTCTCTGACTCAGTCTCGCTGGCTGACCCCGTCCTGCCGCATCCCCTACCACACTGCTCCCAGCCCCTCTGTGGCTGAGCCACAGGAATAGGTCTGTAGAAAGGCTGTCACTGTCACACCCAGGAATCAGCACAACTGAGAAATAAGACAGGCCTCACAACAGCATACTCAGTTGTTAGGTATTAGCTTTTTTAAAATCACAGAGATAAAATATGATAGAAAGGTTACTGCACTCCACAGACAATGGATCCTTCCATTCTTCAACAGGCCTAGGACACAGATATACCTACACGGGATTTCTGGTTTGTCCTTACAAAAACGCTTCATGTTTTGTCTCGTTCTCTAAATTGCATTTCTTACCACACAGTATACCTGTAGTGCATCCCAGAGGTGAGAGTTTGACATTCTTTTTCACAGCCGCAGAATATTCCAGATTGTGGAAGTGACCATGTACTCAGCGGTGTCCCCAGTGTCCCCAGCTTGTCACTGTACAGTGCTGCCATGAACATCCTCGTACACATATTCTGTGTACTGATAGCTCTCCTGTTCTTTGAGGCAGTGTCCTTTAATCTGGGAAGAAAATTGACTGTAGTTCATTTTCAGATTGAAATATGGTGCAATTAAGAAGAGCTCTTAGAAGAAATCTGAGTTTTAAGCTTGGAGGAGAAATCTGATCCTGGTGCAGAAGTCTGAGTTTAAGACCATTCTGTCATTCATTAATAACTTTGTGACCTTGGGCTTATCACTTAACCTTTTTCATATGGGGATCAGATTGGATAAGGTCTTGAGTCACTTCCAGTATTAGGTTTAGAGCTCTTTGTTTCCCTCTATAAATCCCCCTGCTTTTCTGTCTCCAGTGCTGAGTCCTTGTGTGTAACTCTTATCTATCCTTCAGAGCCCCTCTGTACAAAGCCGTTCATAGTCTTCCATTTCTCCAAAGCTAGAAACATTCTACTCTGAGCCTCCTGAAGCATGATTCCTCTTTTATCACTTTTAAACCAAAATTATAGTACTTTGTCTGTAGATGCCTTTTTTGACAGTAAGTACCCTAAGGGCAGGACCTCTGCCCAGTCCATCCTTGTCATCAACATCAGCACTGGACCTCACCTCTAACAGTAGCTACTCCATCAATACGTGATGGGTCTAGATGACCTATCTCAGAAGGAGGTGTTTGGAATGGAAAGAAGAGGTTAGTTCCCGGGCCTTGGTACATGGACATACGAGTGTAGACACATTACAGATTTTATGTAAGTTAGCAGCTTCTGTACATCATACACTATTTGCCTTCATTAGATCTAAGATAAATTCTTTCTCCCTCACAGGTTAGTAGCAAATAATTTTAAATTATCTCACATTTCTAAAATGATACATCTGACTTTGAAGCAAAAAGCCCAGTCTGAATTCACAGCGTCGTGGCCTTGTTTTAGACCCCCCGCTCGGCTGCGGTGCACGGCCCTGACACAGAAGAACAGCGGCCAGACCGCGGAGGAGGACGTGGGTCAGAGCGAACAGAAGGCGGACAGCCCGTCTCCAGAGAAGACACTCAGGGACGAGAAGGCCAGGCTAGAAGAGCAGCTCAAGGAGACTGTGGTAAGGTCACGCAGGCTCTTGCGGGGAAGGGTGATCTGTTGAACTCGGGTGAGGTTCTTCAGAGGACTTCTGGCCAGATGAGTTGGGTCATTTGTCCGAGAACCGCAGTCAGGTCCCGCAGCAAGTTCCTGCTGAAGAAGGGACTAGAACGCACATCCTCTGTGGTTCTGGTTCTGTCATGAGAATCCTCTTCCCACGCTGCGTAGATTATACTGAATTAAGACTTGAGGTGGTCTTTACAAGTGAAGAGCGCTCACTGCGGTACTTAACCTGCATCTTACAGGAAGACGAGGGCCAGGCCCGGAGGTGTGGTTATGTGGTACTCTTCATGAGGAGGGAGTTTAGTGAACTAGTTAGAAGGACGGATTATTATTCCACGTGAAAAGGCCTAGGTGGCACAAATCAGATTCTTTAAGAATTTGAAAATGAACATATCAATCTATGCCAGCTCTGTTTTGACCACCTTATTTGTGTTAATCCTCAAACACCCTGTGAGTCAACGATTAGAGCCCTGGTTCCAGACGAGGAAACTGAGGCACAGCCCAGGTTTGAGCCTCAGGAGCCGTGTACTCGACCACTACACTAGAATCACCTGTAACTGGAGGACAGAGCCCCGGAGCCGGAAGTGCGCAGGAGATGAGTGGCATAACAGGAAAACTGGTGGGGAATGGAGAGGGCGCCAGCAACCGGTGACTGTTCCCAGTCAGCTGTTGGGACTGGGCCACTGGGCAGCGGTCGGAAGACCAGAGGTTCACGGCTGGGGCTTCCTCCCCTCAGTGGGCTGCTGATTCTCCTAAACCTCTGCTGGAGCTGTGGGCTCTGGGTGCGTCCGCCCCAGCCAGCGTTCTGGGGTTCCCTGAAGTGGGAAATGCTGTGGCGGTGAGACCGTCAGAACCATGAGAGTTTTTCCTCATTCTCGTCCAGCTGCTCACGGGGGCTATGCGGTCACGTGAGCCCTTGACCTATTCCTTGGAAATAGGGGCACGGGTGCGACTTCCTTCCGCTCAGTAAGCCGCGCTGCCCGCGCTCTAAAACGTCAGCCGTGACCCGTGTTAACTTGGACTTGGAATTTGCTCATATCACATTTGCTTTCGTACGAATTTGTTCCGTGCTTTACTCATGTACGTTTCCTCTTTACCCCCCCCCCTTTTTTTTTAGGAAAAATATAAGCGAGCTTTGGCAGACACCGAGAACTTGAGGCAGAGGAGCCAAAAATTGGTGGAGGAGGCAAAATTATATGGTAACATTAGACACTATCTGATACCGATCCTAGAGAAATAAAGGGCGGGGAAGGTGGGTGGGGCGGCAGTGTGAGTATGGAACGGCAGGGCCCGCCAGGGCGAGGAGGTGGGGCCGCTGGGTGCGTTCCCTCCAGCCGAGAGGGGTCTGCAAGGAGAAGTCGCAGCTGCGACCCGCATTTAGAGCTGCAGGTGTGACTCCTTCGGTGAGGAGTGTGTGTGTTGCTCTTCCGCACGTGGACCTCAGTGAACCTGAGGCCGTCGGAGCCTGCAGATAGTTCCCGCAGGCCAGCCTCCCAGATGGGCATTTCCGTAGCTAGCTCAGCATTCACACACGTAAAAATCTAAGATGCTGTCTGCGCTGTCAGCACTTGGATATCTTTGTCGCTGTCCTTCTCATTTTACGTTTGAGATCATTGAGGCTTAAATGACTGGCACTCATCACGAAGCTGGGAAGTTGCGGTGGCCATGCTGAGGCCAGTGCCCCCCAACGCCACGCCCATGCTGGTGTCCACTAAACGTCAGGTACAGTGTGAGTATTCGCAGAACCTTCTGTACAGACCCACGGGCGCCATTCCTCCGCGTTCTGGAAGAGCCTCTTAAGGCTCACGGTGAGACCATAGCTACTTCACCCGAGGACAGATGACAGGTACATGGGCAAGTAGAAACCGAGATCCAGTCTTGTGCCGCCACAGGCAGCAGATTCTGCTTGAAATCTGCTTATGCCTGGCCTCCGCATGTCTGGGTCCTTCAGGGAGTGGGGTTAGGCTTCCCCTCCTCTCGCCAGGTTGCCCAGGCGACCTGCCCACGCACAGGTTCTCGTGGCTCAGACGTTTCTTCTGAGTTCCAGTCCCCATCCTGCCGCATCCCCTACCACACTGCTCCCAGCCCCTCTGTGGCTGAGCCACAGGAATAGGTCTGTAGAAAGGCTGTGACTGTCACACCCGGGAATCAGCACAACTGAGAAATAAGACAGGCCTCACAACAACATACTCAGTTGTTAGGTTATTAGCTTTTTTAAAAGCTAATAGTCCAGTTGTTTCCCCAGCGTCTGCACCTGATGCCTCACGGGTATTTTGAGTTCCATTTTCCCTTTATCTGTGCTGTTTTTCCTCATTTTAGTAAATGATACTATGATCCTTCCCGGTGCTTATTTAGGGCAGGAATCTGAAGTTCTTGTTCCCCATCCCCCTGTTCCTCCTGGCCCTCGAGCGCTGAGCGGCTGGCCTCCCGGCCGTCCACTCTGCCCTGATCCGGGCCCCGGCGCTCGCGCCGCCGTGCCCCAGGCAGAGCGATTTTAAAATACAGCCATTCCTCGCTTTACCGTGTTTCGCGGATGATGCAGTTTTTAGATCGAAGGTTCGTAGCAACCCTGCGTCGAGGAAGCATTTTTCCACCAGCATCTGCTCACTTCATGTCTCTCTCACATTTCGGTGATTCTCACAATAGTTCCCACGCTTCGTTATGGTTGTATTTGTTACGGTCTATGATCACACCTCACTGAAAGCTCAAGCGACGGTTAGCGTTTTTTAGCAAAATGTATTTTTTAAGGTTTGTATGTGTTTTTTTATACATAGTACTATCGCACACTTCGTAGACTACAACGTAAACATAATTTTTATATGCACTGAGACACCAGAAAACGCTTTTGACTCCCTTCACTGAGCTCTTTGCCTTGTTGGGGCGTCTGCAGCTAGAACTGCAGTATCTCTGCCCTGTGCCAGGACAGTGACCACGCCATCCACCCATTTGGCTGCCCCGTCTGAAACCTTCAATTTCTCTGGGTCTGCCTCTTCCCTGTGCGCCCTTCAGTCCTCAAATGTTTGGATAACTCTCAGGCCTTGGTTCACAGACCTCTCCAGACTCTCCGGTCTAAATGAAGTCCCTTAGTATAAGCTTTCCTCGGCACCGAGAAACGCTCCTTCGTGGAGGTGGGATTTGTGATTGTGTTTGTCACTCGTGTGCTTATCTGACGCTTGTCTCAGACCGTACGCTCCGTGAGGACAGACCGTCCCCCAAGAATTGGCACAAGCTTAATCCATGATAGACGCCCATGTTCTTATCAGATAGGTAGAAAGTTTTTTTATTTCATTTTCCAGCAGGAGGGGGAAATATTGCGACAGGAAGTCACCCACAGGCGCTGCCTGCCGCAGAGTCAAGCGGGGCTGGTGCCCTTGCGTCCGGTCAGGGCCTGGGTGGAAGCAGATGCCCACCGGGGCGCTGCGGTCACCCCTGACTTCCAGTCAGCATCTGAAGCGTTTTCTTGAAACCACAATCTGATGTAATAACACTGCCTTGAATTTGGAGGGACTTTTCTCCTACCTGATTTCTTTTGTTCGATTAGGGTTAAGGCTTGGGTGTGTCTTGTGAACTCTGACCCCACGGTGCTGGCAGGGCAGCTGCCCCTTCCCCGCAGAACGGCCGCGGGGGTGGGGTGTTCTGTTCTGCAGCGAGCGCGTGGTTCCTTAGCGGGGGGCAGGACTGATGGGGAGATGCTTCTGCATGTCTTCATGCCTAATTAGCTCTCATCTAAACCCAGAAGTTTTTTTTGGGGTTTGGGTGTTTTTTGTGTGTTTTTTTGTTTTTGTTTTGTTTGTTTTTTAAGACACCATTGAAATTTGAGGACAAGTGAATGGTTTGAAAGGTTACCGTTCAGGAGTTTGTGTGAGAGGTCGGCAGGGTTACGGCTCTCGGGTGCCCCGCCGGCGGTGGGACTGCAGGTGATGGTGTCCTTCACTTCGTTTAGGCATCCAGGGCTTCTGTAAGGACTTGCTGGAGGTCGCGGACATCTTGGAGAAGGCGACGCAGAGTGTCCCAAAGGAGGAGGTTAAAGACGACAATCCTCATCTGAAGAATCTCTACGAGGGTCTCGTAATGACTGAGGTGCAGATCCAGAAGGTGTTCACGAAGCACGGCTTGCTGCGGCTGAACCCCGTGGGGGCCAGGTTCGACCCTTACGAGCATGAGGCCCTGTTCCATACGCCGGTGGAGGGGAAGGAGCCCGGCACGGTGGCGCTGGTCAGCAAGGTGGGGTACAAGCTGCATGGGCGCACCCTGAGACCCGCCCTGGTGGGGGTGGTGAAGGAGGCTTAGCGGCCTCGCGAGGGCTTCTGTGGGTTCTTTGTAATCACTTGCTGTAACTCTTGAAAAGCTGGTTCATCTTCCCTATGAGTATTTTTGACCCTTCCCCAATCCTTGTTGGAAAGCTTTAGTAACCAGTGGCTAAACAGAAAATTAAGCCGGTTGCGCAGATGCGTGAATGAACTTGAATTGGGGAGTCTGTTCGTTGATTTTTATACACCTTTAATCGCTCCACACGCTTAGAGAACAGGCCGGCGGGACACGACTGGACCCTAGAGTGTCAGGAATCACGCTCTAGCTGCTCAAAGCCTGGCGACGTCCAAGTACCATAAATGAGTCCAATGTCTTCGGGAACCCCACGGTTGGGCTGGCTGGCCAGCCAGCCTCGCCGGGCCCTCCGGCACACTGTGGCACGCGGGGTCCTGGGTGCTCAGCCCGTACCTTCATCCAGTGAAGGGAAGGCGAGAGCCAAGCGTATTCCTTCCTGCTCAGAAAAATTTCCCCATGCCCTCGCTGGAGAACATACATGAGTTCATTTATAATCGTCACCGTCTAGCTGCGGAAATGCCCAACTTCCGGCTTCCTTCTGGAGATGGGAAGTGAGCACACACACCTGAACAGATCTCATCACCTTATTTTGCCAGTTACTGAATTCAACAACATCAGTCACTTTTGCCCCGTTGTTCATCTGTTTGTAGAAATGTTCAGATCTCTCTTAGCTAGTTACTGATGACCTCAGTGTATCCCCAGTAAGATGGACTTGCTCAAAATCCAAGAATTGCACGCTTGGTACATTTTAAATGTTAATGTTGAATCTTTAAATTTTTTAAAAATCTTTAAAAAATCTTAAATTTTATTTAAGAGGATTAAAGCCCTAATATGTTTATTTTCCTACTTTTTGGAAACTATTTTGTGTACTTCAGTGGAGGAGATCCACCTACACTAAGCATGACTTAGCTTTCCCGCGCTCGGCTCAAATTCTGAAGCCGTGGGCTTGACACTTAGACACGCCACACACGTTAGCTTCCGTGTGGGAAGGGAGAGCAGGAGGAACCGGGCCTCTACTGGGGGCAGACGGCCCCAGGGAGGGGACCAGGGAGGGCCTGCACACACCAGGAGCCCGGCAAGATCACCCACGGTCTGCACCTCACCACACCCACCGCAGGCCCCTCCGTTCCTCATTTACACTGGGAGTCGAGCGAGGGAGCGGTTACAAACCAGAGAAAACCCAGCCTTCCGCTATCTGCTGCCGAGAGGGATTTCTAGGATTGACGTTCAACACTTAAATTCGTTTATGGCGTAATAAAGGTGGGGCAGTTTGCTTGTAATTTTGAAAGATGTAGGTAGTGTTCCCATAATTAAAAATGTAATTTATACTGTTTCAAAGTATCTTCCTCTTTTCCATGAAGCAGTCTTATGTTCCTTGGTCAGAAACTTGCCCAGAACCTCAGGCAGCGCAGCGCACTGAGAAAACCCACTGGGGTCAGAGCTCTGCAAGGATCTGGCCTCGCCTGGAACACCTTGAAACCCAAAGCTGCATAAGTAATTTTGAAACGAACTTCTCCCCGTGTGTGCTGCCCCTCCCTCGTCAGCTGGGGCACGACCGCTGGGGGGCTGCACCCCGGGGAGACGGGCTGTGGCTCCACCGTGGGTTCCCATCACCCCACATCGCCACTATATAGGGAAGCGCCCCTCCGCACCGGAGGTGAGATCTGCCAACTGCACCCCGTCCTCCCGTCCGGGGCCCGGCCCATGCGGAGCCGTCTGTTCACGAGGGGCCTTCGTGGCCGGGATCGGAGTAAGGTACGTGCTCCCCCAGGTGGTCGGCTGCTGGCAGAGAAGGAGGCCTGGTGCGAAAGGGTTTCTGCGTCACAGACGGTTTAACTCCTACTTGCGAGGAGGAACGGGTTTGATGCCCAAGCGCTGAGCTCAGACGGGTCCCGTGCATGCGGTCCCGAGCTGGCACGCCCACGCAGCAGCGACACCACTTTGCTCCCCACGTGCTGAATGTGTAAAAAGATAAAAATTGTAGAGTTTTGGTTTTCACACATCCTTGGCATGTGGGCCATCCAGAGAGCATTATTTTGAATGGCTGAATTAACTAACTTTTTGGACTCAGTTTAAATTTGGCAAAACCCTAATTTCAGGGGATGAGGGGAATGAATTTTACATACAGAAGCTTAAGGGCCCTGAGCTGGCGGCCGCGTTAAGGGCTGACGGGCCGCACAGCCAGCGGGGATGGGGTAAGAGCAACCAGTGATGAAGGTACCCCTTCCTTGGGACAACCTGCCGATACTTTAACATCGCTTACACATTCACCGTTTTAAACCAGCCAAGCCTAAACGGATTCTTCGTACCACTGAAAAAGACCCACATACTGAAAACCTGCTTAAGCACAGATTGTTCCACTGGATGGCCCTCGGCTGGCCTGGGCCACACGTTGACCGGGATCTTTTGCTTCTCCAGCTTAAGTCTGGCGGCCGTTTCATACAAAAACAATACCAAATTTAGAACCTCCCCAAACCAGGAACCTGACACACGGACCGAGTGAAGGCCAAAGGTGGGAGGAGCTGCTGCCTGAGGCCCGGACGGATGGTGACAGGGCTTCCGAGCATCCAGGGAGGAGCATCCAGGGCGGGGCAAGGCCTGAGGGTCTGCAGTTCTAGTCGGTTCCCAGGGCAGAGAAGCCGCTGGTCCAGGAAGCGCAGGTGAGAGGCACCATCCCCATCACCGCTCAGTCACCGCGGTGAGCCTCCAGGGGGCACAACAGTGTGGAGGGGGTCCCGTCAGTACCACCCCTGCTCGCTGTTTCTTCCTAGGGCCACAGAAGTCCCGGGCTTGGCTAACAGGGAGCACTACCTGCCGCCACACGACATACTTTACAACTAAAGCCACGTACAATATATTTGAAATGTTTTATTTAATGCTGAAAAATTTACCCTGGGGGACAGAAGAATGTAAAAAGAAAGGAAAAGGCACCGTAATTAAGTTCTTGGAAATGATGAGGGTCTTTTTTTTCTTTCGTCTTTCAAATAACTTCACTTTAATGTAACTTCAAGCCCCAACATTCTGGGAGGTAAACAGTCTCTTGGTAGCTTTGGGGGGGGGGGCGGCAGGAGAGGCAGGATGAGCTCCAGGAAGAATGGAGTGCTGGGCTCTGCAGTCACCCCGACTGTAAAGCAGGGCCTTAGAAGAACCAACCCTGAGCAGCAGGAAGACAAATGAGTGACCCAAGTTCCAGGAGGAAGGTACCGTGTCCATCCACGGAAGCAGGGCCCCTGCAGAGACAGCAGGGCTGGGCAGAAGCTGAGCAGTCCAAGACCAGGACCCAGAGAAGCCACGCAGGGCCTCGCCCCGAAGGCTCCCTCCCGTGCTGCCAGAGCCTGCTGTGCGAGCAGCCCAGGCCAGGCCGGCTGGTCCGCAGAGCGCTGGACACCACCTGAAGTGAGATGCTTAGCCAGGCCAGCACGGTCAAGGTCAGGGTTGCAGTGGAAAAGGTCATTGCAACCGCCATGAGAATCCTGGAGGAAGCGGACTCCAGAACTCAGAGCCCTCCTCCAATTTCTAAAACGAGTTCTTCCAAGTCAAGGGGTGCTTACTACTGCAAGTCCTAAGGGCAGCAAGCAGCAAGCCCTGGAAGACTGGCTCAGAGTTCTGGCGCCCATGCTAGTCCTGCCAGCGCCCCCCCACACACACACAGCAGGGAGCCTGCCCGAGGGGAGCCCGCAGGCTCCGCCCCCAGTAAATGAGGCAAGGGGTGGTTTCCGGGCTCGGGATCCACAGGCTCCAACTGCCCGCGGCCAGGAGTCGAGGGGAAGCTCGCCCGGACACTGTTCCACCCGACTCTTCCTCTAAAGCTCCCGAGGAAACAGCCCGCCGTTCTCCAGCCTCGCCGCCCACCTGCCCCGCCCCGGCCCCCACCTAAAGTGCCACGTGCTGGGGCTGTGCTGGGGTGTCCGTCGGGGTGGCAGTGGGCCCCCCCAAGGGCGTCCCCGGCGGCCAGCCAGAGGTCACGTCACAGGGTCAAGCTGGTGGCTGGCGGGCCCAGCAGAAAGCTGCTCCTTTTACCCACAGCCCAAGAGTTGCGTACCAAAGGGAAGACACAAAAGGAAATGACCCAATCTCATAATATTCCCCAAACCGAACAGTAAAGGCAAATCGTCATCTTAAGGTATGACTTGAGGACTAAGTTAAAATATACATATATCGGCTGCCCCCATGATCCGACATAAAATCGTTACTATTGCTGCTTTTTCAGAGGACCACGAAAAGGATTTATAGCCTAAAAGAAAGGAACTCAATCTGTTTAAAAAAGAGCAACAACCCGGGGGGGGGGGGGGCGAGCGTCTCCTCCCGCTCCCTCACCCCGAGTCCTAGGGGCTCGCTGCCTGGCGCCCCGAGCTCGGCGCCCGCCCGCAAAGCCACGCGCGTTCAGGACGCGTCCCTGGATATCCACCCGCTCTCCGTGAGGAAATTTAAAATCCTTTTCTTTAGGACTTTGTCCAAGTAACTAGGAAGGCGACTTTTGGAGGGGATCCCCTGCCGCTTCTGCAGGTGGTCCTTGATGATGATGGTCTTCACGGTCACGTAGCGCGCGGGGCTCAGGTTCAAGGAGCTGCAGAGCACCTTCTCGCGGTCCGACAGCAGCTCGAAGCCCGGCAGGTGCTCGATGGCCGCGAACTCGCCGTCCTTGGCGTCCTCCTTGCCCCGCTTGGCGCCCGCCGCACCCTTGTTCTCCTTCCTCTTCTCGCGCTTGTGGCGCGCCGCCTCGTACTCGGCCGACTCCTCGAGCTTCGTGATGCCGTTGCGCCGGTACCGCTGCAGCTCGCGGATCTTGGCCCGCAGCATCTTCTCCTTGTGCATGCCCTCGAACAGGTCGTCGAACTCCTTGCACGACATGAACTGGTAGAGCGGCCGCAGCTTCAGCCGCAGCTCCTTCTCCTCCTTGGTGACCTTGCGCTTGGCCGGCCGCTCCTTGTCCTTCTTGTCCTTGCCCAGGAAGGCGGGCACCAGGTTGTAGTCGCGCGCGATGTTCTTGCGCCGCTGCCTCTCCCTGAGCTTGCGCACGTACATGTCCACGTGCGCGCGCTTCAGCTCGATCTCCACGTCCTCGTCGTCGTAGTTGACCGAGAGCCCGCTGATGAGCGTCTCGGCGTCCTGGTCGTACTCGATCTCATAGTCGTCACGCAGCGGCATGTAGCCCAGCTGCTGCTGCTCGGCCACCGAGATGTCTAGGGGAGGCAAGGGGGTGGTGAGGCTGGGGGACAGGGGCCCTCCGCCGGGGCACGTGTGGTCGGTCACCCGGTTGGGGATGGTGTCGGGGATGCAGGCTCTCCCCAGGTTTCCGTGGATGTACATGCTTACGTAATGCTCCATCACCTCCTGCGGCGTGCGGGAAGCTCCGACGTGAGCGGCCATGTCTTCCTACAACGACAGGGGTCACACGTTACTCCGAGAGTCAACCTCACGCCAAGGTCCGCCCGGACCGCTTCCAGTCCCCGGCATCCCCCCCCCCCGCCAAGGGCACCGGATGGCGCGTCCTTCGGAGCTGGGCTCACCCGGCGGTTGTGGACACTGGACGGGACCGGCGGGGACGACCCGGGGAGGTGCCGCCTGCCCCACCGCAAACCCTGCACTGCGGGGGCGGGGGGGGCGGGGCCACGGAGCACCCCTGCTGCCCCGCCTCTTCCCAGGGCCACCAGGGCTCCCCACCCTCGGCTCCCGACACAGGAGGGACCCTGTCGTACCGCGCTGCCTTGCCTCCAGGAACCGAAAGGGACACGGCCCCTGGGGGCATAGGGGATAGGCGGCAGCCTGTCCCCTCCCTAGGTGGTGGGACAGAGAACCAGGCGTGCCTTTTAAAGCAGTGGGGGCCGTCACCGATGACAGCCTCCATAGTTAGGTAGCTAAAGTCTGCCGCGGGCTGCGAGTGCGCACTCCTACAGAAGGTGACCCATGAACACAAGGGTTATTAACAAGAGGAAATTGTACAACTCCCCCAATCTTTTCCTTCTGCCAAGAGGCCTCTTCCTCAGTCAACCGCTAAAGCCACTTCACAAAGTAGCTGCCCAAAATGCGCACTCATTCACCAGCAGCCACTCAGCCCCCTGCCTCCAGCCCCCACGCCCTGCACTCGGCTCTCCTGGCCGCCAGGGCGCCACGCCAGCCACTCTGCGCCCTCGCCCGCGCACCCCCCAAGATCAGCTTGGTCTCTGCACCCCCAAAGGCCAAACTGGATTCCAAAAAACCAGCCAATCCCCTGGGGCCGAGGACTGAGGACACACAGGGCACCAAGGGAGGGAAGCGCTCCTGGGGCCTCAGGCACTCCTCCCCGGGGTACTGAGCGCTGAGGGCGGGGCTCCAAGGTGGGGGGGGGGACCAGGCCAATGCTGGGGCCTAAAGGGGGAGGACCCTTTCTGAGAACCAAAAGATTAGAGCAAACACCAGATTCTGGTGTTACGGGGAAGAACTGACAGGGAAGAACTGCGTATGTGATTAACTTCTTTAAACCATTACCATTTGCATCAAATCTGTTCATTATATTTTCCCGGGGAGCATTTGCCTCACCCTACCCAAAAAGAAACCCCAAAAAACACACCACGCTACAACCATCCCCACCATCTATGGCCACTGTGTGACCCAAGCTGGTTACTTCCCATCTCTGGGCCTCGGGTTCTTACCAGTAAGGAGAGAGGAGTAAGGAGACAGCCCTACCACGCACCCCACACTTGCGGCGAACGCTATGGACAGAGAACGCGCAGAGGCTTCATGCACACATGAGGGGCCCAGCTCAGGTCCCACTCAGAGGGGCGAGCAAGCCAGTGGGCATTCTGCCACCCTGATGAGCTACACTGGAAATGCCATCCCTGACACCTGCCCATTCAGGAGGAAAGGACATCCTCATGAGGGTGTCCAGAGAGCGGAAAGGCCCACACGCGCCCGGTCTGAGCTTCCAGGGCCCGGCCACGCGGTCGGAAGTACGGCCAAGCCTGGCCCAGGGGCTTCTCCACCCCTCACCGCAGCGTCTGTGCGAGCCTGCAGCCATAGAAATTTCAGAGTCAAGCGTCCAGGGAGCCTCCTGGGTGAGGGACCTGAGGTGCCCCCTCACCAGAGGCTTGCGGGGCTGGGCTGCACATCCAGGCTTGCCTGGTTAGGAAGTCGGGCCCCAGGCCCGGCCCCCACCCCCGGCCCAGTGAGAAAACGTGCAGAGCGGGCTGCCCAGCGAGTGTGCAGAAGCACCAGGTGCCCCCCCAACAAAAGTCCGCTGACCCTGAACCTCAGCAACCTGCCTTTCAAAAATGACTGGATGCTCGGAGCACCACATTCGGAGAAAACTGAAATCCTGAGAAACAGAAGGATTCTGAGAAGTGAAGTCAAGTCGGTATCTGATCAAACCAAGGTGTGTTATCGGTCGGAGGTTCTTGCCATCAACTTTGACAGTGTGGGAGCGAGCGCAGGGGACAGAAACTGCCGGGGGCCTCAGCGCCGTGGGCCAGAGCAGGGACACCTGGGACCGCCCGTCCCCAGCAAGTGTTCCCCCTCCCAGGTCAGGGAGAAGGGCGAGTACACGCTGCTGCTGTTGTGCAAAGGGCTGGAAGGAGGGCGCTGTCTGCCTGGGCTACATCAGGACACAAGGGCCCAGCCAGGGCGGCCACACTGAGCAGGAAGGGGCCACTCCACCAGACACCCACTTACGGCCTGTCCTCATCCTCAAGGATACTGTGTCCGGTTCTAAGTCATAAGGAGAAATCCCCCAACGGGAGGAAGTGTTGGAAGAGCGGCCCTGTCCCACGCTGCTCCCGGAGGCAGGCCCGGCACCAGGTGCTTCGGCACCAGAGCACGGCAACGTTCCACAAAATTCCAGCCAGCAGCCCTCCAGCATGTCAGTCGAGACAAAGAAAGAAGTGTGACTGGAAGAGACATGTCAGCGACATCACTGGGGTTTCCTGGGTGGGACCCCAGGCCCGGTCTGTGCCCGAGGGTAGGGCTCTGAATCCATGTCAGCATCCTGCTTTCTGGAACCACACCGTACCTCTGCAAGACGCTAACACTTCGGGAGGTTTATGGGATGAACACATACGGGAACTCTGCATACTATTTTTTCACTTCTTTAGGTAAATTGGAAATAAAAGTTATTTTTAAAAAATAAATTCCTTTTTTTTTAGAGACAGAGGGAGAGTGCGGTGGGGGAGGGGCAGAGGCGGCGGGGGGAGAGAGAGAGAGAGAGAGAGAGAATCTCAAGCCAACTCCACGCTGAGCGTAGAGCCTGACATCGGGCTCGATCTCACAACCCTGAGACCATGACAACCTGAGCCAAAATCAAGAGCTGGACACTTCACGGACTGAGCCCAGCCAGGTGCCCCAAAAAAGTAACGTTAAATTCTGCCTCATAATTCTCTATTTAAAGGTCTAAGACTGACATCCAAATGTTAGACAAGAAAACAGAGAGTACTCAAGAGAGGACTCTTCTGTCCCGTGGAAAAGCTCCCTGGCCATGGCACGTGCAGTGTGGCTCTACGGTCACAGGCAGGTGACGAGGGCAATGTCCTGCTCCACAAACATCCACCCTTCCAGGGCCACACGGATGCAGGCTGACCGGTGACGGTGGCCGGGCCCCCGAGGCGACTCCACCACCACGCGCCCGCAGCCTGGGCCCCCCGCCCGGCCGGGGAGCAGGCCAGCCAGCCGTGTGCTGGCACTTTGGTTGCCCAGACCCTCTTCACATAAAGAGGCAGACTCTGGCTCTCGCATGGACCCAGGTTATGAGTATTTATGAAGCCACGAATCAAATCAGAGTGGCTAGCACCTCGTCACCGGGAGCCCAGGAATCTCTGTCATCAATCCACCTCACCCACTGCCCGACAACAGCTGCAAGGCCACGGCCAGGAGAGACACTGGCCAGCAGCTGCCGCTGAAGGAGAATCGCCCCGAGGCCACTGTGTTTGTCTCAGGACCATTGAGAAAGGCCCAGGAAAACACCAAAACCCTAATTTCTCAAAGACTCGGGAAGAGAGGAAGATCACAATGGTCTCAACGAGAGCGATGACAACAGCTCTGGTTCTAACAAGAATCCACAGAGGAATGACAGGGAGGAACATTCTTTAAAAGATGATTAAAAATAGCAAGAGCTGCAGAACGCCACCACATGCCCGCATCCTGCCCACACTCCGTCTTCTCCCATCTGCACGCGTCGGCAGTCACGCGAGACTGGCCTGCCTCCCGCAAGGGGCCCAAATGTCCCGTCACCGCCCCAGAGTCACATATGACAGCAGCAGAGCACGTGTTCAAGGTCAAAGTTTCTGCTTAATCTAGATGATGGATGGACGGACTGACGGACACACGCATAGATGGGCAGACAGAAGGGTGGGCAGGCAGAAGCAACAAAAGTGGGTTTGGGGGACAGATGCGGAGAGACAAGGACAACTCAGGGGCAACTACAACTACGCAAGGACCGCAACTGTATCCTGCGGCCGGTTTTCCCCGACACACCGCGGCACTCGGGTGAGCAGCCCACAGTCTGCGGAGACAGAATTCCAGGTTCTGTTCCTTTAGCCTCACTAAAAAAGACAAGACACCCGCCCCTGGAAACAGATAAGGATAGGTATGCTGCTTCCTTAGAGTCCTCAGAGAAATGAAGGAAAACACGCCTCTAGGACACTGAACAGGCTGTCAAGTCTACTGTCCAAGGTCACTAGACTCCCACCAGGACGCTGGCTCTCCGGGACAGGAAGTGAGCATCCCAGTGAGTCCGGACTCCACGGCCTTTTCTGGCTGGTCTGCTCTCCTTCCGGCCTTTTCACGGCTCACTGGAGCGGCCTCCCGCACCTGAGCAAGGACGGGAAGGGGAGGGCAGTGCAGAGAAATCAGCGGCAGGGTGTCGGCCGGCTCCCCCGCCGGTGCCATGGCCTGCGTGCACCCGCAGCCGCACCCCCCCATCCCCTCTGGAGCCTGTGGCAGCCCCCCGACCCTGGGAGGGGCGCAGGTTCTGGCTCAACCACCCATGGCCTGTGATTCTTATCCTCTCACCTTCTGCTTCTGGGCCTGCAATCCCTCCCCTTCCAGGGCCTCATCAGGAGGAAATAAAACTCATCACAGTGACAGGTATGTGCTTCTGCATGTAGCATCTGGCTCGGCCCCCCAGCAGCCCCATGGGCCCCGCCCCGCTGCTCAGATGAGCGGGGAAACCTCAGGTGACGCTCCCCCCAGGGCTTCTGTAGCAGACAGTGTCGCTCCGGAGCACTCGCCCTGACACCACGGGGCCTCTCGCGGGGCGGTGACACAGTGCACACCGCAGGGAGACCTCTGCAATCAAATGCTTCCTGGTCCTTGAGAAAGGCAGAGCCAGGGCGCCTGGGTGGCTCAGTCGGTTAAGCGACTGCCTTCGGCTCAGGTCATGATCCCGGAGTCCTGGGATCGAGCCCCGC